AGTATATAGCATTTGCACCTTCACACCGCCATCCGCCAACTGTCTCAGTGGTACATTCCTTATTTAATTAATGTAAATTTACCCCCCCCCCTCCCCATGCTGCTTGCCAACTGACTGCCAGAGGTACACACTGCACAACACCCACTGGTTGGCTACTCGATAATCTTTCCCCCATGAGACAGACATAGAGATAGTGAGAGACTATCGGCTCTAAATGTGCATGTGTATGTACAACATGTATATCACCAACAAAAAGACACTTTTCAAACAGATTGCACAGCAGAATCATGTTCCTTGACGTTGGGCAGTTGGAGCTATACGAAAGAAACCCCATTGAACCGCCCGCCTCACTGTTCTGCCAACTTCATGTTCATCCCAACGGTGGTGGTATATCGAGATTTGACAGTAGATCTAGAATTATGTTGGCCCTATCCATTTTAACAGAAGTTCACAGGGGTTCTTAGATCTTTTCAGAATATCTATTATAGTTTATAGTTTGCCAAATTGTTATACTGGTGTCCTTCTGTTAAGGGGTGAGACAAAAACTAAACTGAATATTGAGAAAGACCTGGCCTACTGCATGTTGAATAAGGTGAAGTGAGTGGAGCGAAGTATTGACACATTTCATAGATATAGGAGGATTGTATCCATTTAGCTGAAATTTACAGGCATTCTCAAGTCTTTACAGATAATCCAGTTTTGACCTAAATGATTACTCATCCTAACCTTAACTCCTACCCACCCCCCACCCCCAAACCGCATAAAGTAAATTTCGATATTCCAGGACTCTTGAGGCCAAAAACCAGAGATTGCTAATGTCTTGACCAAAACGATTAGTTATCCTAATTCTTACTACTACCCCAAATTCACATAAAGTTGCTATTGATATTCCTGGTCTTATGGGGCCTAAAAGCCGAGTGTGCCATTCGTTTTCCCAGAATATAATTACGGTTTGTAATTTACAGAATACACTGTTATAGTCATCGAGCACAGAGACAAAACTAAGCTAAACAAAAAATGTGAGGCATTGTGGTGAAATCGGGCGCTCATCAAAATAATGAAATCCAAGAAATCTGCATTTTTCGGCCAGTTTAGAAATGTTTTCCTAATTTTTGTTTTTTGGCTCAACACCTTGTATGTCCATTCGAAAACACTTTAATGTGTAGGTTTTATGAAAAAAACGTTAATTAAAGGCACAAAAAATGTAAATTTGCAGTTTCCAAGGACTCTCAAGCTATGGAAGTCACCAAACTTTGGTGGCCATTTTCTAGCTAATTTTACTTCTGAAACCAGGTGACCCCACCTCCTTCCATTGCAAATATCTCCACTTCTGGTCAAGATAAATTTATATTTATTATATTTTATTTCATCGAAAGCAAGGCAAATGGACAGGCTTTAAGATGATACTAATAACTCCATATGTCCCAAAATTGACGAGTGCCTGATTCCACAGTGTCGTGACACAATATGCCGAACTGGGAAGGCGAAACTAACTCTTCATTTCTAAAGATTAATTATCACCATGATGAAAATGAAAGGGTGGCCCAGATAAGGTTTTGGTGAGGTGTCGCGCTTATTTGGGCTGTATGTCGCCAGAATATGGACTTCCTTACAAAAAATAGGTCATTTTTTAAAGAAAAAATAGAAAATTCATCCAAAATTCAGCAGGTAACTTTATTCAGACCAAAAGGGTTAACAATATTAACAACAGATAACAGGCAAACAAAGTCTCACATTTCATTAACTTTCTCACAAGATCTCTCTGTTCATTCAAGAAGTGCAGTACTGCTCGTTCAGCCTCTTCCTTTAACAAAAAAAAAAGTTTCAACCTAAAGCATTAAAAGAAAAAAATGGTCAGTGAAAGTTCAATAGTAGACATTACTACACGTGAATCACTAAATTACAACTCATCCAATTGTATCTGAAGGATATGTTGACTTCTACTTCTCATTGGTGAAGTGGAGATATAATTTCAAACTGTCGAGTATACTATTATTTTCTATCAGTCAAGAATAAATGAAGTATGTTTTCATCTTTCAAAAACTGCAGATTTTGAATATCACACACTTTGTCTTTTTTAAGTACTGGAGATCATCAGCGCAGTACACCTCTGTGCTTGAGAGTACTGAAGGCAATAACACACACACACACACACACACACACACACACACACACACACACACACACAAACGCAATGCATGTACTATTTCACTATCATTTCTTGGCAGCCTCCGCCAATGTGTTGAGAGAGGTGGGCAGCCACCGGCCGGACGGATCCTGCATGAACACCACGTTGTGGTCGTAGTAGATGAGAGCTTTCCCAAACCTGTACACTTGCTTACCCTCCTGGGACTTGCCGGCCAACAGAATGTACAGCAGGTCCTCCTCTTCAGCCTGAATGAGCACAAAGTTTGAATTAGAGATATTTTTTTTTGGTAAGTGTTTTACTGAGCTTGCAACTGCATAAGGTCATAAGAGCACGCTGGACACATTAACCCTTAAAACCCTATACCACTGGTAACCGCTGACGCCGTATTTTCCTATACCACCTGGTAACCTCTGGTTGACTTTATCGTTTAATTCCCAGTGCTAGAAACAGGGGATGTAACTCCAGATGACTGTCGTGAGCAGAAAGTACCGATAATGTCATGAGAGCAGTTCTACACCGAAAGTTTGGAAATTTTGCGAGTTTTTAAGAAAAATTAGTCACTTTTCGCTGCCAGGGCCTTCAGGCCGCAAATTGTTGGACATTTTTTACCCTGAACCAAACCCTAATAATGATCTCCAAGTCGAATATATCGATAAATATGACCGTTGAAGACGTTTGCAATGTTCCGAATAACAAAGATGATGATTTTGACGATAGTGGAATTGGCAGGGGATCACTACTAAAGCTACCAGAGGCTAGATCTATGGCTGGGTCTAATGATACTTTGACTGAAGTGGAGTTGGGGATCACACACAAGACTTAACTCATAGAGTTGGTCCTAAAAACCAGTGTTTTAACCTTTTCCCCTTTTGTTCAGACTGCATTCATATATAAATAACATTTTCAAACTTCAGTAAAATCTAACAACAATTAAAGACACAGTAAATAAAATAATGAACCAGCCTAATTGTTTCTAGTATCTCAATTTTAATTCAGGATTCTAGGGAGGTATGAAAAAAAAGAATTCAGGGTTTTAAGGGTTAAACATTTTCAGTTGGTAGGAAATTTTGAATTTTGCGCGGGTGACGGCAATAGAATAATGGTAATCCACAGGTGGAAGTAGAACTCCCCACCCCACCACACTACCATAAAAGAATCATGCATAGAGTATAAGTTCATCCTCATGATATTTCTTTTGCTTCTAGGAAGTGCCAAGCCAATTCAAGATTTTAAAAGAAATCAAATGTATGTTCGTTCTTCTTGTCAATGAGCAAAAGCTACACAATGAAGCAGAAAGTACTCACCCTTCTCTCCACAAGTTCCTTGAACGTTGTTGGGACACTTACAGAACCAGCAGATCTTTGTGAGGCCTGAAACATGGATTAAAAAGAAGGAAGAATTGAAAAGAAAAGATTTAACACAAGAAACGGAATGAGCACATAATTTTCCTTGAAACACACATATCTCATTTCACTGACACAAACACACAGACATGGCCATGGTGAAAGATGATATATAAGGAAATGATCTAATTTGATGCTTTCAGCAGAGAATTGCAGTGAAGTAGCACACAGCGAGTCAGCTAGATATCAGAAGCAAGATATAACTGCAGACAACTCCACATCAGACAAAACAAGCTGGGACAAGGGAGAGGACGGCAGAAATATAAGATAAGATAAGATAACACAAGATAAGACAAGATAAGACAACACAAGATAAGATAAGATGATACTTTATTGCCCCAGTGAGAATTTTTCTTGGCTGTACAGGAATGGTAAAAACACATGAGGATATACATATGTTCATTTCCCCTTCAGTTTACACATTTCTTAATCAAAAGCTGCCCTTATCAAAACCTTGTCTTATTCACTACAAAATATGCTTTATTTTGTTCTCTGTTTCGAATTCCTAAACTGAGAAATAAGTTCCAAATAAGATCTTTTTCTTCTTTGTAGCCACACCAAAAATGTCCTAGACTAGGACTAGACTAATGTTGAAAACTGACTACCAAAGTGCAACAAAATATAACTGATTGAAGTGTAGGCTGTGTAAAAGCATACTTCACTTAAATGCATGTCTATGTTTTCATAACCACGAGTTATAAGATAAAGGCCACAGCTAAGGCTAATTTTGCCTAGAGCTTTCTGATATTTGGTTCCATAGATAGATCTATGTGTAACTAATTTTGTAGATCTACATCTGCGCCTGTTCAGTAACAGGGGGGGAAAAAAAAGCACAAGCTTTTATAAAAATTTAGGAAAAATTTTTAAAATAAACTCACTTCTGGTGGCGCAACAGTTGGAGTTGTCTTTGAGTCCATTATCCTCCGCTCCGCGTGCGTGAAGTATGCGATGTTCTCCTTAATGCCAGGCACAAAATTGCCAGACACAGCTCGGTTCATGGTCTCTAGTGCTTTATTGAATTGATCTGCAATAATAAAATCAGATACACAGTTTATGTAGGACTTAAGTTTAAAATTACACTGTCATGCTACACCGTTATCTTTTTTTTTTTTTAAGTAAGTGCAGTTATTACCTGTAGAAAGTTAAACTACGTTTTGTTTTTCAATCCCGTAGGTAAGAACCATCCTTATCTAGAAATGAAAAATATCTTTGATTGTCTGAAGATAAACTATACAGGCAACTATAGAGCGCTAAGGAGGATGAAAAATCATGAAATGAACAAAGAAGGAGGAAAAAGAAGGAAGAGATGAAGAAGGAGAAGAAGCAGGGACAAAAGAACAAGAACAAGGAAAAGAAAAAAGGAGAAGTACAGTGGGGCGGAAAAAATAAAGAGGAGGAGGAGGAGGAGGAGAGACCAAAGCAAATAATAAAGACACTAAAATAAAAAACTCTAACGAAACACATCGTACGACTGCCACTCACCTTTGATGAGCGGGTGACCCAGCAAGTTCTCCGGGAACTGTGCCTTCCAGCCCAGGTACCACTTGGTGATGTCCTGGTAGTTGGGCATGTTGGTCAGCCAGGCAGCTAGCACCTGGTGCCACTTGGGGAAGAACGTCTTATCCAGCATCACCACCATCGGCTGGATGGGCATCATGTCTTTCCAGGACATCACCCAACGCCAAGGGTCTGCCAGTTTCGGGGGAAGGGAAGGAAGAACAAATAAATTAGTTTCAATCATAAATCCCTGTGAAGAAATTTGTTTACTTTATTTTTAGTAGGAGTTTTACGGCACTCACAACACTATAAAGTTATATAAGTGCTGAAGATTAGATGTGCTGCAAGAGAGTAACAAATATTTTTAAAAAGGAGGAGAGATCAGGACAAAAGGTGTTTGATAGGAAAGAAGGAGCAAACCGCACCAAAGCACCCAGCAACCACCCACAGAGAAATTTGTCTAACAAATAATCTGTTGAGAGAAAAGAAGAATTCAGTGTCCAACAGAAATACCAGAAATAGGCAGATGCTGTGAGGAAATTGAGGTACACCTTAAAAATAGTAAGTCCATCACCCTATAACAAAAAGGCATAATGCAAAGCCAGTCAGTAATGAACCCAACACTGGCAGAAAAGAGGGCTAGGTCTCAACTTTTCACAATGCAACATGAGCTTGAAAAACTTGTCCAACAATAAATGCAACTTAAACCACAATTATGTGTAATATTGATTAAAGCGAAGCCAGTGCAAGTGATGTGGACTCAAATGGATTTCTATCTAAACCTGGATCTATGAATACTTAAAAGATAGACCTCATCTAGGTACTGTGACCAAGTTTTGTATGTTTAGGTGTATTTGTCTGTTTGCACTAACCACTTTGTTGATTCATATGCTGCTTTTTTTTTTTGCATACTTTTGTTCAAGTGGTCAGGAAAATACATGACGGTCTCATTGGATCAGGAGGTAAGGTCAGACAGGGTTAAGGAACATCAACTCATATTTTGAGAATGCTGGAGCCAGTAGTGCAGAATACACTTTGTACTTAAAAAACCTTTCTCTGCATACTGCCGATCCTAAAATAAATAGGAATGACAGTTCTTAGACAGTCTTCATGAAAGTATCATCTACCCTCACACAATGACTTGACACACTGCTCAATATGATAATGGGCTTAATAATGCCAATTTGAACATGATAGGCATGATGAGAAGTAAAAATTCAAGTTAACGTTTATTGCTAGAATGGGCCAATCCAAAAGGGTAGAATCTCCTCCACTGCAGTCAAACATTATACCAAATGAGCTGACAAGGTGCCTCCATCATACTACCGATATCATCAAAGAAAAACACTCCAAATTCATTCATGTCTGAAAATGGAAAAGATCTAGGTACCATAGTTGCTACACAGGCTTAAAGAGTTCTGGAAAAATATACAAAGCAAAAAGAAACACTAAAAAAAAAATTTTTTTAAACCACTTGCAGCATTAACAAGACCAAAAAAAGAAAAAAAATGACAAAAAGCTAAACCAAACCATAAAACAAAGCAGCACCAATAAAACACAAAATAACAACAACAAAAAAAATAAACTATAAGCAAAAAGTGTCACCTAGAAACTGCTGGTGTGGGTTGATGGTGAGATTCTGAATCTCAAGTTCAAGTTTCGGCAGGATATTCTTCACAAGGAACGCGCTCATGTGACCCGGTCGGAACACACCGTGCCAAGGTTCCAGGATAATCTTTGCCGAGCCGTCTGATGGGTGCCAGCTGGTGAGGGCATTGGCTATCTTGTGGCGGATGGGAGCGTACAGGGGCTCTAGTTTCTCACCTGAACATGCGACGAAGGAAAAGAAATATGGGATAATATTAATAAAACCTCTAATTCCAAGACGTCTAATTTTGCAAATTTCGATATTTCGTATTTACATGACGAGTGAGTTTAGTTTAGTTTCAGTAAGAGTTTTACGGCACTTGCACCACAATAAGGTCATCTAAGTGCAAAAGATTACAGGTGTTACAACAGAGTTAACAAACAAAACAAAAAAGAGGAGAGATGAGGACGATAGATGTTTCATAGGAAAGAAGGAGCAAACCACACCAGAGCACATGCCAACCACCCATGTGAGGAGAAAACTATAAAGATCAATGGCAAAACAGAAAAGGAAAAAGAAGGAGCATACTTTACCAGGAGTGATCAAATCATCATGTGAAGTTTTTAGTTTTAGTAGAGGTTTTACGGCGCTTGCAACTGCATAAGGTCATATGAGTGCCAGAAGATTAGAGATGTTACAAGAGAGTAACAAACATAAAAAAGAAGAAGGGGAGATGAGAACGATAGATGTTCCATAGGAAAGAAGGAGCAAACCACACCAGACCACCCGCCAACCACCCACTATGTGAAATTTGCATAAAAGATTATAAGACTTTTTTAACACAAGCAGAACACTGCAGGCATACCGGAGCTGACATGAACAAATGCCTGTGCATGAGCGAACTCACACTGACATAAATCAGCTAATAAAAACACACAGACATGAGAGAATACACAAAACACACAGGCACATAGACACACAATAACAGACACTAACACAAACAATCGTACAAACACTGACACAAACACACATTGACACAAACATACACACACAGATACACATACACCCACACAGACACACACACGCACACAGGCACACATGCATGGGTGCGCGCACACACACACACACACAGACACAGGTTGATAAAAACAAACACACAAATACTGACACAAACATACTGACACAAACAAAGACACACTCTGACACATACAAAAATATACATACATCAGACCTGTTAACTCCTCCATGACCAAAAAGAGGAGTTTTTCTCTAAATCCCCCCTAAACTACAGAACCCGAGAAGATTAATATAGCGTTACAAACAGAGCAGGGCAAATCATAAAAGCACATTTATTTTGGTAAAAGTTTGACAGCGTTCGCAGCTGCATAAGCTTATACGATGAGCTTGCGGGACTCAAAATCGGAGTGTTCTAATTTTATCAGATTATAATTTGGCAGGTCTGCATTCACTGACTTAGAGAAAAAAACAAAAACAAAAAAAACCCCACCACACAGACACAAATAACACAAACACAGGCCTGCAAACGTCTGAAAATGCAGAATAGGGAAAATCAGCGCGGCGCGCTGCGTGCCAGGAGGTCGGGAGCAGCGCATCCGATTCAGGAAATTCCCCACAAAATCGGGAAGGTTGGCAGGCCTGCAAACACAGAAACACTGACCCATGAGGGGCAACCAGGGGTGCAGCCAGCAGTGTATGGGCGTGGTGTCGGTCAGCGGATTCCAGTTCTCCACCTCTTGCAGGAGGCGGGGCAGCACCAGCTGGTCCAGAATGTTCTCCAGCACCCAGGACGGCAGGGCCGGTGACCACGTCTCCAGGAGAGAAATCATGGGCTCCGTGTCGCGCACGCTCCACTTCCTGAACGGAAGGCAACAGGAAAGAAAATGTAGGATTAGTTTTTTCAGTTTTAGTAGAGGTTTTACAGCGCTAGCAACTGCATAAGGTCATATGAGCCCCAAGGGGTGGATGTCGGGCCAAGGGGTGGATGTCAACAGAGAAGTCCTTACAGAGAATCAGACTTACTCTGCTCACCTCTCTAGCTTCAACAGCACAAAGTCTGCTTCGACTATCAAGGCACCCCGGAAACAGCAGGTCACAAGAGTGTGACAAACATACAAAACAAGTAGAGGAAAACCACGATAGTAAGGATTAGGAAAGAAAAAGCAGCAGTTCCCTTTTGTACATCAGGCAGTTATGAGCGTGACATGGATGAATCAGCCCATTTACAATTCTACTGTGCATGAACGAGAAATGTCACCCCTTTGGGAATGGCCTAAAGACACTTCAGTCAGTGGCACTGCCCCGGGGGATGGGGGGAGATGAGGGCGATAGATGTTTGAAAGGAAAGAAGAAGCAAACCACACAAGAACACCCTCCAACCACCCATGGAGAAATGGTATGATTAGTAGTTATTGTATGAGAGTCAAGTGTGTACACAGCTGTAGGAGTTTCCCAGACTACAGTACTTAACGTAAAACAAGCAAGAGAAACTACCACACATTTGAAAAATAAAACAGCAACAACGATGGATAAATAAGTCAAGAAAAACAAACATTATCCTTGAGAACTCCAGAAAACCTTTAGTGAAACATGAATATCTACATAATAATATAATGTTTGTTAGTTTCAAGTACAGCAGAAACAGCATAAAGAATCGGACAACTGTCCCCTTACAGAATGGTGGCTCTGACTGGTGGAAGCCACACCTCCCAGATGAGCCGCTGGTAGACATCCATCTCCTTGCCCCTCATCTCAGAGGTCATGGCGCTGGCGTCCGCCCCAAGCAGCAGCTGCCACTCCATCACGGTGTGCAGGCCAAACTTGGGGTCATGCAAGGGAAGCCAACCCGTGAAGAACGTTCTCATCTGGGGAGAGAGTGAGAGAGAGGACAGCATCAATAGTTTACTTCACTTGGGAAAGTTTTGGTATTTGGTTAGTGGTTTAAGGTGTTCGCAACTGCAGAGGGTCATATGAGCGTGCAGGACACATTAAACATTTCTAGTTGGGTAGGAATTAATTCTGAATTTTGCCCGCGGGGCAGCCGAAGCTAATTCTTATTGATTTTGGACCACCGAGGGATCTTTAACCCGAGCAACTTGCACATATGACCTCCCAAATTTTTCTCATATACCCGAGAAGGCTAGATGTTAGATCTTACCTACCCTAAAATCAGGGGTGTGGCTGAAAGACAGCAGTAAGAAGGAGCCAACGAGTAGTAGTAGCAAGGCAGCAGAAAAAGTCAGGAGCCCAGAGAAGGGGGTAAAGGGGAGATTAGGGAAGAGGGCAGAAAATGGAGATGAAAGCAGATGACAGAGCATGGTTAGAGAGAAGGAAAGGTGAAAGGAGAACATTTTAGAGCAGAAAATTTTCCATCCCTGTCAGGTTTCGAACCCGGGACCTATTGAATGAGACGTAACCTTTAGACCACGAGAGCCCCCATACTTCACGAGGGAAAGTTTACTTTTGATTAGGTTTGTTATTAAAATTGGCACCATAAACACATGTTTTATAGTTATGTTGTCTGTTTAATTTGAAATGGCTTGAAGGGTCAACCATCCATTTTGGTCAATATTTATCAAGAATATAGCTGCTTTTTGTAAACACATCTTCAGAATCTAACAATAATTTTTTTAAATAGAAATGGGGAATACTTGTCGGTATGGAAAAAGTTAAGAGCAAGCCTCTAGACAGCTGTAATGTAAATCTAGAAGTCCACCCCAGGGAGTTCGGGTGCACTGCCACTGTAAGCTCAAGAGGCCTGGGATCAAAGGGAAAGGGGTACGTGATGGATACACTCTTCTTTTATCTAATCTGACAGCCCTTCTATCAATACTCATTCGAGCCTCAGCTCAGTCCGACGCCGTGTCCTTGGGAAAGGCACTTTACATAAATTTTCCACATAGCTTGGTCCTTTCAGAGATGGAAGTTAAACTCAGAGGTCCCACCTCTCAACTCTTTATCTCTGGCAAGCTGTTCCCAGCAGCTCGCGGTCGGAACTCCTGCGTCGGTGAACTGCTGACAGCGGCTTGGGCACATTCCTTTACCACGACTTCAACATCAAATTACTTTTCGGCAATTGCCGAAAAAAGGTCTCTTTTACCAGGAGATCATTCATTAGATGAAGAACTATCGGAACAGATTCACTCTTTAAAATTTAATGACCAGTTTAGTGATATGTCAATTTTAGATTTCGTACCAAAATAGGGCCCCGGCATAGTGGCTTTACCCCCCACGGAGATAAAGAGTTAAATAACTTAACAGTGTTGATAGGGGCGTTAAATCTACAGCATTTCACCATTTTATCAATACTCACTAAAGGAAACACCAGAGCGATGGCGAGCGAGGGCAGATCGTAGATCTTATACTCTTCATAGTAATCCTGCTGCAGCATCTTGAAGACTCCCAGACACGAGTCCAGGGTGAGTGGGTCTGGGCTGTCTGACTTACAGCGCTTCTCACAACTGCAATGAGGACAAAACGTTCAGCAACAATTCGAATGTGTAAGAACTACTGAGAAGAAGAACAATGATAAAAAGAGAAGCAATAACAAAATAAGTCAGATTTGACAACTTTTTTCCAAACTCAATCAGGGACACCCACCTTTAGGGCATCAGATTAACTGACAACAACAACAACAACAAAAATTACATAGAGTGGGATTGGTTTTTAGCGTAGTGTGGTACACGTTTTCTCAAATTCCAAGATTGCCGATTCCAGGACAGTCCCAGAAAATTTGTGACAGTCGGCAAGCCTGAATAAGTTTAAGAGTGATTAAAAAAGTGAAGTAACAGCATGTCTGGAAAATCAGAGTCTGTATAGATACAATGAATATTTTAGAAAAGACAAAATTTTACAAGTCCATTAGACACCTGCTTCGCACCAATCTTCAGATTTCTTGATCTCGACACCACTACTATAGCTGCTGAACTGACTGATTGCTATTAATAACTTTTTCTCTATTTTCTCAAGCTGCTGATATAGCCAGGAGAAAGGGGGGGGGGGGGGGAGAGAGAGAGAGATAAATAAAGAGATAGAGGGGGGGGGGGGGGGGGAGGGAACAACAGCAGAAAGAGGAAGAACATCACCTTCCAAAAACACACCTTGGTGGATGGTGGGGGATGCTTTCATGTAGTTTGCTCCCTCTTTCGTATCAAATATGTAGTTTTCTCTCTCTTTCATATCAAACATCTATCATCCTTATCACTCCTCCTTTTTCGCATTTTTACCTACTTGTAACACTTCTAATCTTCGGTACATATATGACATTATGTTGCAGGTGCAGTGAAACTCTTATTAAAACTACAAACTAAAAGAAGACCTGACACATACTCCATGACCAGGTCCAGCACTGTCTGCAGACGCTCCAACTGGCGAGCTTCCTGCTCGACGACGGTGTGCAGCCGATCCTCCTCGTGCTCCAGGTTCACGATACGGTCCTGGTTGTGACGCAGCTTCCTGTGGTTCTGCACGATATCGTCCTCCGCCATGTCCACCAACAGATTCAAGTTGTGCATCAGCTCGGGCATGTCAAACGCTCTCGTCCTAGGAGCTTCGGGAACTACAAGCACTTCCTCTTCATCCGGTTTGTCGTGTCCTTTGCCAATGGCATGATAACCTACAGGAGACAATCAAAACAGAAACATTTACACCCTAATACGAGTCAGATATGACGTTGTTGTGTACATTTGACTCTCACGGAGAGAAAGTGTGTTTCAATCAACAACCCCTACGTTTTACTCAAATCAAGCATGCCACAACCTTTGCCAGTGATATAATATTCTGCGAAAATTAATTCTGAAAAAAATACTTATGCAATGTCATCAAAAGAAATAATTGAAGCACCACTATGAATAATCCATAAGACACACATGAATGCTGCTATGAAATTGTACAAAGATAAACAAATACAATGGACGGGGAAAAGCTGAACGAATATAATACAATCGCGACCGGCATAATTGAACTTACTGACCTTATTGGAATTTGGTTTTCAAATATTCCAATTCCGCGATACTGAGACTATTTTGACAAAAGATGGGACTTGAGATAATTAGGATTACTCGTCCAAGCTGAATCTCGTATTTTTCGCATTCCAGGATGCGTATTTTTTCATAAAAAGTCGTGTTCGCGTATTTTTGGCAAAAAATCGTACTAAAATACGTAAAATCGTACTGGCTGGCATCTCTGGGCATGTGATGGGAAAAGATAAAAACAAGTCAAACATTACCTGACAGAACTCGTTGTTCCTTCCCAGTCATGTCAATGACCTTCACCTTGGTAGCTGCATCAGGGGCTGGTCTGCTGCGTCTCACGCCCCCGCTGTCCAGCACCTCCTGTGCTGTTTTATAAACATATTTCGGCTGTTTTTTCTTTCCCTGCAGGTGAAAAAATGAGAAGAAAATTAACATCTACCCATCTCTTCCTGATTATAATGGTAAACGTTTTACTCCCCCATCAACATAATCTATTTCAACAAAGGGTTGGACAGCTTCAGCCCTGCCTGTCTGGCCCAACCTGAGCGGAGCAGGATACAAGACTGGGTTTTTTTTATAATTTTATTAAGAGTTTTACGGCACTTGAAACTCAATACGGTCATAGAAGCGCTGAAGATTAGAGGTGTTACAAGACAGTAGCAAACACAAAAAAGTAGGAGAGAACAGGACGATAGATGTTTGATAGGAAAGAAGGAGCAAACCACATAAGAGCACCCACCAACCACCCACATACAACACTGAAATACTTGACTGAAAATTAAAACTATTTATGTGCATTAAAAAAATATACGGCTTACCGTTAGAGCTAAATTAGTATCATGACGAACTACACTGCCCCTAAACCTGGTTCACATCCACTTCCATTCATTCTTGAACTACGGTTGCCTAATTTCTATGACCGCCACCTATTAATTGGCTCAGTCTTACTGGATAATGGAGATTGTATGGAAGGATGAGCTTGTCACCATGTTGAAAACAGCGATAAATCAGTTACATGTGTAATGACGTGCGTGGTGGAATCAGGCGCTTGTCAATTTCTGGGCATATGAGGCTATAGGTATCATCTTAAAGCCTGTTCATTTGCCTTTCATTTAGTGGAAAAAATATCCATCTATGTTGAATAGAAGTCTAAAAATTTGCGATCGAAGAAGGTCAGGGTCTCCTGGTTTCAGGTGAAATTAGCCAGAAAATGGCCACCAAAGTTTGGAAACTTCCATAGCCTGAGAGTCCTTGGAAACTCAAAATTTACCCTTATATACCAGATATATATTATATTATTTCCTGAGTTTGATTAACTATATGAGAAAATCATAAGAAAACATGAAAGGGTTGTTGTGATTGTAGACGATTTACACCTCTGTCAAAACAATTGATATCATTTAGGAGGCCGCTTCAACACCCTGTCTGTCAGAGCCAACTTGGGCTGAGCGAGACACAACATCCAAGCAGACAGATTGACATATTATGAGAGGCATAGAGGTGAAATCAGGCACGCATCAAAATAATGAAATCGAAGAAATCTGCATTTTTCTACCAGTTTGGACATTTTTTTCAAATTTTTGTTTTTTGGCTACATTTACGTGTAGATTTATGAAAAAACATTATTAAAAGCACAAAATATGTAAATTTGCAGTTTTCAAGGACTCTTGGGCCATGGAAGTCACCAAACTTTGGCGCCAATTTTCTTGCTAATTTTACTTCTAAAACGAGGGGACCCCACCTTCCTCAATCGCAAATATCTTGACTTCAACTCAAGATAAAAGGATATTTTTTTCATCAAAAGCAAGACTAATGAACAACCTTAAAGATGATATCAATAACTCCATAGGCCCAAAATTGACAAGCGCCTGATTCCACCACGTCGTGACACATAATATATGGACAAAAAACCTACTCCCCACACAGAAATTAAACCCTTGTCTTCAGTGCACCATGGCGAAGCGCCTAAAGACTACACCACAGACACCGATAAAACAAAAAGCGGCTGATCAAGACATTCTCACCTCCACTGGCTGTTTCCTCCACTGCGAGAGCTGTTTCTTGAACTCTTTTTCCTCTTCCTCTTCCTCATCCTTCACAGGGAAGTCTTTCAAAGACCGCTCAGAACGCTCCTTGCCGTAGTAACCAATGGCAGCATGACCTTTCCGCTTGACAGCCTCTACAGGGGTCGTAATTCCTTGACCTTTCTTGCCGAGACCCTCGCCAGGCTTATGACCCATCTGTCAAAAAAAAAATTTCCTCGTTATTCCATTATCAGTCGAAGAGAAACGATAACATTTCAACTGATGTAGTAAGATAGCTAATAAATATCCTAATTTACAGCCTCATTTATGGACACAATGAGAATGTAGCAAAGCAACTGGGAAAAACGAGATTATCTCAGAGGTCATGGTAACTATATCAACCAAATCTTCCCTTTTTTTCAAAGAAAAAAATTAATCATAGCGAATGAAACCTTTACTACTTTTACCGTATTACAAAGGTATATATGGAAGTATGAACTGTTCATCTTGGCTATAGAACGTAGCTTTCAAACAAATGATTTAACAACCATACATATTCCAGGATCAACTAGGAAATGAAAGGCTACAGAAAAGAGTAAATGGGTAGATGTCTACTACCAAACCATGTTAAAGCTTTTACTAAGACATCATTAATATGGGAAACTTCAATATCATGACTTAACTTGGATGATACCAGCTTCATACTGTTGTATCAAAAACCAAATTTGCTTACATAAGTTGATAAAATCTAGCAAATACAGTTACTACTCAAAAAAGAGAAAATGAGTTGGTGTGTGCTTTTATCAAAGAACCTGTTCCTTTTTTAATGTTGGTCCAAAATTAGAGGTCATAAAGCCTAGCACATATAGCAGGTAAGAAAACGTGAACATAAAAACAAACCTTCAATAGGAGTTTTTGTCCAATTCCTTTGGTGTGTCTTTCCCATGAGCCAAATCCCCTGTAAAAAAAAACAGAAAGAAATGTCACAGAAAAGTAAGAAGCAAGTTTTCTAATCAATAAAAAAAACCAAACCCACTATTTAGAAAGCAAAAAAAAAAAACAACTTTGCATGCATAAAAAGAAAATGTGCTACAAACAGTATAAAGATAAAAGGAAGAATAAATATTAAGAGGAGGAGGAGGAGGAATCAAGCTCAACACAGTATACTATACGGCATGTGACTGCACAATGAAAACGCACAAACATTGATGCCATTCACATAGCACACTAACACATTCACACACAGCAACAGCAATATCTAAGCACTCTTTGAGGACATAGCTGACACACACATATCAAGGTGATATCAGGCGCTCGTCAAAATAATGAAATCAAAGAAATTGGCCTTTTTCTGGCCCGTGGGAAATTTTTTTCTTGTTTTCTTTTGGCTTAACACCTTTTATATCCATATAAAAGCACATTTCTGAAAGGATTTTTACTGAAAAACGTTGATTAAAGTCACAAACATTGTAAATTTTCAGTTTCCAAGGACTCTCAAGCTATAGAAATTACCAAACTTTGGCAGCCATTTTCTCGATAATTTTACCTCTGAAACCAGATGACCCTGACCTCCTTCAATGGCAACTATTTCAACTTCTATTCTACATTGATGGATATTTTTTTCCACCAAAAGCAAGGCAAATTAAGAGTCTTTTAGACGATACCAATAACCTTATATGCCCAAAAATTGACAAGCGCCAGATTCCACCACGTCGTTACACATATGCCCAACCAGCAACAGACCAAAGGCAATGCTGCTGTACATTTCCAACCATCATACACACATCAAAAACATGAAATTGCTAAATTTCATAGTATGCAGCTTGTAGCCTGCTTTATCAAAAGTTTCTGATAAACAAAATAGAACTGAAAAATTTCAGTGGATAAGTAAGTTATACACCTCTTTTTTAAAGTACTCCAAAACGTCGCATTCTCATTCATTAAAACTACACAATGTGCTGGTAGCACAGTGAAACAAGACTTCAAATAACTGTACATGCAAGCTGTCATTGGCACAATCTTGAAAAAACAGCACTTGAAGAGAATTCAAAAACAAAAAATGTTTAAGCAAAGCCTCTCTCCAGTCTTATTCTAACCTTCTAGTACAGATCTGGCGGTGACTCAGACTGTAGGAAACTAGCAAGTATCCCCTCTCCCTCCAAACACAATGTCGAGAAAGGCAATATACGGCCATCATTGCAAATACAGTATTTATTTAACAATTGATAAATAATAATATAACAAAAACTTATTAAAGTGCTATTTCAATTGTAACAGAGGTAGCCAAGTGGTATAAACAAAGAGCATCATTAAAAAAGTGAAAGCAAAATGTTTCCATTCAAATGTATTTGAACACTAGCGTCAAGTTAATTAAGGCCTGTAAAAATCTTTCCGCTGACTAGATTTGACCAACTGAGCAAAGCTTGCAAACCTTTGGTTTTACAGTTCAACCCAAAAATAATAAACCTACCTGTCTTGATCCTGTTGATGCCCTTTGACATATCGAGGCATCGGGGCTTCCTTACTTGAACTTTTCTTCTTTTCAATCCATGTTTCATTGACCTGGCAGAACGAGGAGACGGAGAACATATTGTTCAATTGTAAAGGAGGTGCAGAAAAGATTGAAAGAACAAAAAGGAGACACCCATAAAGGACATATGTGAGGCAGCGTGGTGGAATCAGGCTCTCGTCAAAATAATCAAAGTGAAGAAACTTGCATTTTTCCGAAGGTTTGTGAATTTTTATCAAATTTTTGTTTTTTGGCTCAACGCCTTTCATGCCTATTCAAGAACTCATTTCAGAGTGGGTTTTTCGGAAAAAAGGCACAAAAAAAGTAAATTTTCAGTTACCACGGACTCTTAAGCCAAGGAAATAACTAATTTTTGGCGGCCTTTTTCTCATTAATTTTACTTCTGAAAACAAGTGACCCCCATCTCCTTCTTTTGCAAATATCTTGTCCTGTATTCAAGATAAATGGATATTATTTTCATCGAAATAAAGACAAGTGAACAAGCTTTAAGATGATACCAATAACTCTATATGCTAAAAAATTGACGAGAGCCTGATTCCACCACGCTGCCCCACATATCATGTAACAGTTTTTAAAAAGGCTTATCAGTAATATAAAACTTCCACTATAAAGAGGTTAGTTCACATATCCATTCACTAATAAAAACTCCACATCGTAAACTGTTAACAATCGTTTAACATAAACATGATAATGATACTCCTGATCCCACTTTGATTACAACAGAAATGACGTCATGACTGAAAATACAATTACTTTTATTATCTCAAAACAAGAAGTCTTCCGATCAGCATGTATATAACTCTGTAAATCACTCCCTAAAATGATTTGTGACTATATAATTTAATAAAGACATGACTTACAATGTCTTTAGAGGCGTCCTTCTTTTCCTCCTCTTTGAATCCTCCACTGACAAAGGAAATTCCAGCACCTCCTCCCCCAATACTAGCACCTCGACCTCGGCCTGCAGGTTTCTTTTTGCCCTTGCCCCTTGCACCGAGACCGGCCATTTCATCACCGCTATCGTCACTGTCTTTGTCCGCCCATATTCCTGTGAATTATAATACATGACATCTGTGACAGAAACCAAAACAACATAACAGATGAAAATATGAGCGTTACCATCTACATGGTCCTGTGCTTTTTCTAAATTTTACAGATTTTGAGTAAAAAGAAACGTTGACCATACATGACTATCCAAGTACCTCAACGTAAAACCCAGTTAACTCACCAGAAAAGTATAAAAAGAATTGAACTTCCTACTCGTAGGAACATAAGAAATATTACCAGCACCTTAGACTACCTTTCTGCATTATTGCCAGAGCTAAGAAACCACATTCAGGACACTGTCACAGTCAAGAATACAAGGAACCCCAATCAGAAAGACTAAAAGAATCTTAAGCACGACAATATGAATCATACCCTTAGCAAATGGCTGCTACTGGTACAATGTCTAAAAAATTAAATTCCAGAGGATGTGTTTCACATGTATAATTATATCATACCGCTGTTAGTCTTAAAGTAAGAAAAGATTTATACTATGTACAGAGGAAAAAAAAAATTACCATAGGTAGCATCATCTTTGGTCTGCCTTCTTCTATTGCCTGTCGGGTCAAACATCTGGTAATAGTCAGTGTCTGACATTTCAAATCTCTCCACCTCCGGCGACGACATCTTGACAGTTTGTTCGTCCTCCCCTGAGTGAATCTTAATTTATACACTGAGGAAAAAAAAAATACAGTGATGAAAACCTTCAAATTCAAAAAAGGTTTAAGAACAATCAAGCAAAAATACAAAGCATAACAATAACAAAAGCAGCCAAAGTAGAATATTTTCAATTCGAAGTGACATTCGGAATCGAGTCCGAATAGAGAAAAATTATATTCGGACTCTGAATTGATTGCAGCATGACCTCCGTTCCGACTTCCTTACTAACATTTTTTCGATTTTATTTAATGATAACAGTCGAGACGTGAGTTTTAATATCCGGTTTTTACTAGATAGTAGATCTATCTAAACTAGCCCTCCCTGCATCATTAGTATGAACAGAACGATTAAGTTGAGCTGACCTTGCCGGAGGGCAAAGTTAAAATGAGACTGCCCGTAGCGATCACGCACCCTCTGCTTGCTGGGGGAAGAGGTGTTGGGAAGAGGCCACGGCTGTCAGTTTTGTGCGATGTGATAAAAAAAATTATTCCAGAAAAACTATAACACACAACAAAATCAAATTAAACATGTAGAAAAACAAACGGTGGTGGAAGTAATGATGATGCTGTAGTGGTGGTGGAAAGACCCCGAGTTGTCGGTTACCGTGTACTACACTGCCATTGGGTAGATCTAAGGAGAGTGCAGTCTTTTGACTTTTGACACAATTACAGTCCTAGTAGCCAATTCTAGTTCTAATTCTGGTTTTACGTAAAATCCCCCGATGACATTATTATGTAACCAGTAATACCTTACATTCACATAACTCACTTAGAAGAAGCTGAGTCCAAATAAATAAAACATTTTCTTCGGACCCGAGTCCGAATAGATAAAACCCATGTATATCGGACTCAAGTCCAAATAGAGCTGGCCTTTTCAATTAGATCTAGAAAGAACCTAGGTCTACCCTGAGCCAAGAGGGTGCTGAAGCTTTCCGAAATCACGAAAGATTTCCCCTACCGGGTCTGTATACTGCGACTTTTCTTCCGGTTACCTGGTCTGTGGTATACACTACCCACTCCCATGGGTCTAATGGGCCTGTCTGTTCTCAGTGTCACAGGGAATAGTTTCTGAGCCTATTCCCAGGGACACTGGGAACAATTTTGCCCTAGGCCCTATTGCCAGTGGTTTCTGGGACTGTTCCCAGTAACACTGGGAATGGTTTCTGGGCCTATTCCCAGTATCACTGGGAATAGTGCTTGGCTTTTCTTAGGTCTTAGAGCCTTAGATTATATATCTAGATTTTAAAAATCAAGTTGATTAAAATATTAAAAAATCAACTGATTTAAATCAACCCAGCTCTGATTTCAATTATGGAAAAAAAAGTAAATTGAATACTGTATTATTTTACAGTGAAAGGGGGGAAAGCAGACTTTTAAGCATGATTATATTAGTCTACTAAATCTTATATCTGTTTTATGAAACCAAGGAAAGGAATTCTGAATGTTGAAATATGTAAAAACTGAATAAAAATAAATTTTTTTTAAAGTGATTTAAATCACTGATTTTTATAAAAAAATCAAGTTGATTTAAATTTTTAAAAATCAACTGATTTAAATCAACCCAACCCTGCCGGGCCTTTTTCCCCAACAACAAAAAAATTAATAGAAAAACAAAACATCAGAACAATAAACAAGAAAAAAAATTACACACCAACAAAATAAAACACCACAAAGAGGGAAATAAAAGAGGAATGTAACAGCAATAAAAATCGTATGTTTAACTAACGTATTCAGCAAATCAACGTGGTGACAACAAGTGAGAAAGAGACGAAGTGAAGCTAAGTGAACTTTCCTTAAAAAGTAAAGAGGTTCGGTTTTTGTTGTTTTTTCCTTTTTTTTTTAAATTTGATTTTTATTCCCCAATTCGGGGACCAAAAAATGCACACAAAAAATCGAGCAACGATTGATTGGTCGCGGCCATGACAAACACATGCTAGTTCTGTGTCGTTATCAATAACCCTACATAGATCTATAGTCTAGACAGCACACGAGTGAACACAACACATTACGTTTAAGAGCAGCACCCTTCATAGGCAACACGTTAATATAATATAATATATCTGTAGCGAAAAGCTGTTTTGAAATATGTAGCATTTCTTTATGTAAATATTTACTGCGGACATTTTTTAAACCGATTGAACCATATTGTTACAATTGTATACGAACAATCTTTGGCAGGCCTAATATAATCATAGATCTATATCGAAATTTGCGAGAAAGGATGTGATTTCAGTGTTCGGAGAAATAGTGCCCAGCTTTATTTTCCAGAACGTTCGGAGAAATGGTGCACAGCTTTATTTTCCCGAACGTTCGGAGAAATAGTGCCTAGCTTTATTTTCCCGAACGTTCAAAGAAATAGTGCCCAGCTTTATTTTCCCAAATGTTCGGAGAAATAGTGCCGGCAAAAAAAAAAACCTCCACGCCCCCCCCTCCCCATCACATGCCGTTAAACATAGAAAAGACGCATCTTTCTGATTGGCTGCTGATTTTAGTACTGTGATGTCATCACTCCCTGGGATACCCACATGGAACGACATGTTTTCAGTAACATTTCGGATTCGAAGTGTATACAGACCCAGTAACCGGGAACAAAGTCACGAAGTATACAGACCCGGTAGGGGAACTCTTTTGTGATTTCGGAAAGTTTCAGCGCCCAGACCAACCAAGGAGATTAAAAGTTCTAAACTCCTTGGCCCAGACCCGGTAGAAATCTAGAGAGTGTGTGCGTGAGTGTGTGTGTGTGTGTGTGAGAGAGAGAGAGAGAGAGAGAGAGAGAGAGAGAGAGAGAGAGAGATAGACAGAGAGAGAGAGAGAGAGAGAGGTGCTAGCAAAATGTGACATGCCCCAGTTGGCAGGAGGGAACGAGAGAAAGATAGAGTGGGAAATAGGTGGGGACAAAGAAATACAGAGACAAACAAAGAAAAAGAGAAGGCGAGCGATACAGAGAGAGAGAGAGAGAGAGAGAGAGAGAGAGAGAGAGAGAGAGAGAGAGAGAGAGAGAGAGAGAGAGAGAGAGAGAGAGAAGGGGGCAGAGAAATAGAGAGGGTGACTGCTCGATTGAAATTATGACATTGTTCTTTACTTCATATCGTGATTCCTCCAACTCCAAAATGGAGGAAAAACGATCGTTCATCGAAAAGACATCCGCAATCTTCATTTAGATCTAGATCTAGATCTAGGCTAGCCACGAAACTAGATCAAAGATTTATGTCTGCCTAGATCTAGATCTAGACCATAGCCATAGATCTAGAAGAACCTAGGTCTACCCTGAGCCAAGAGGGCGCTGAAACTCTTCGAAATCACAAAAGAGTTCCCCTACCGGGTCTGTATACTTTGTGACTTTGTTCCCGGTTACCGGGTCTGTATACACTCCCTTTCGGATTTCCTAGATCTAGATTATATATATAGATTAGATCTCTAGAAATCTAGATTCTCTAAATCTAGATAGAGTCTAGTGCGCTTACTTGGACATGATGGAAGACCGCACGAAAATTGCTGTAAAGACGCAGGAGGATTAGATCTAGATTAGATCTAGATATATCTAAATCTAGATCTACCACCTCTACCCCCCTTCTCCTGCATTTTTAATCACTAACTAATAGTCCTATAATATTTTAAAAGAAAAAAAACAACTTCAAAGCGCAGCTCTACAAATTAGGCCTATAATTTATGCGAATGTTGGTCAGTCGGGAGGAGGAGAAAAAAAACAAAAAAACTGTCCGGGACAGGGATCGAACCACTCCAAAAATCATTGCACGACTTCCGACGCAGACGCGCTGTCTATTCAGCCATCCAGAACTTCCGAGAGAAAGGCCTGGAAGAAAGATGTATTAAGCACCATAGACACTTCCATCTTTGGTGCAATGCGGTTGGCTATACTTAAATGTAGTCACGTGATCGGAGAGGTATCCTGGTCTGACAAGATTGGCGCCTTACCTAAAAAAAAATAGAATCTAGTTTGCGTCCTTTCTACGTTACACACACACACAAATGCACACACACACATACACACACACAAACACGGGCCTATTAGATCTAGATCTAGATCTAGATCTAGATATGACTATAGTCATATCTAGATATCTAGAGATCTATAAGCCCGCTATTCAGACAGTCATTCATTCAATCATTGTCGTTGCAATTTCAGTTTTGAACTGTCACTGTCTTGTAACTGTAAATGTACGCGTAGTTGAGTAAATCTACAATCAAACAACTTTTCAACAGCACAAGTTTACCAAGATTCCTCGAAATAAGTTGTGAGGTGGCCTAGGCTGGTTGTTGTTTTGTTTTGTTTTTACTTCGTCTAGTCTAGATCTAGATCTAGATCTTATATCTAAGTCCTAAACACTCTACAAGCCCGAAAGGTTACTTTGATTACTGGGCGCAGCCATTTTGTTTCGTTTTGAAGTCGTAGCCTAGCCTAGCCAGATTTTTTCAGCGTTTCGGAGCGTCCCTTCAGTTTGGCCGAGTTTCTGGTGAAGAAGATAATAAATTATTGTGTCCCTGCCGGTCAATATCAGTTTTATGTGAAGGAAATTTCAAAACGTCTGAGTTAACATTTTTTTAAAAACTAGATCTATCACCTTTCCCCTACAATTAAAAAAAACAAAGCAGTAAATATGATATTATTTAACGAAAATACAGAACCCTTAATTGTGCGAGGTGAGTAAACACGAAAAGGAGAAAATTAAATGGCCTCTGAAGTTGAGCAAGTTCATGTTTCAATAACAATTAGGGTCTTAGAATTGAGATAGGGACTTGGAATTTAACACTTATCTTGGCTATGCCACTACAAGGTAATTTTAACACACAGAAGTAGAAAATTATTTTCTACAGAAAAAAAACAACTTAAGGACAAAACAGAATTTTCACGAGAATGGACGTTACGTCGAAAGCAACAAAATTTTAGCATACTAGGTACCAGATGTACTAAATTTTCAAAGTAGCTGATGTCAAATTCATCGGTTTCGTGTGGAAGGCCTATATATCTCCTAAGAATTTTGGTGTCATACGTTTACATCTCAGTCAATTTTTAAGAGAAGGGCAGCTGTTTCAATTTAACCTAATCAAATATTGCTGAAGTCGCTATAATTAACTGGCTGCGTCAATCCCATTTTTGACTGTAATAAAAGAGTACGAAGTGCACTAAATGTCTCTACGTATTAACAGAGTACAATCACTATAGCAAAGAAATGAAGCCTTTTTTTCAAGACTGTGAGATGACTACAAAAAAGTATTTTATTGCCTCAAGCACGATGGTCTGTCGTTATTTCAATAAAAACATCGAGCATTGTCCCGGCCGGCGCTGCGCCGGCTCAATACTGTAGTATACTTAGTGCTCCCGGTAGTTTAAATTCGCGGAAGGATTCTTGCAAAATAATTCCAAAGCCGGTGACTTTATTCAAATAGAAAAAGAACTGTTTTTTCTAATGGTACATTTTTTAGCCTGTATTTTACACATTTCGTGTTTAAAATGGTATTTGAAAACTTAGACGCTTTTTTAAAAGGCTTTCCTATCCAAACGCTAAAGGCCAAAAATATACCACGGGAAACCACGCTCAAAGCTGTATTATAGTTCGCTCCGCCATTGAAAAGACGGTTATATTTTACCATCAATCTTTCTGCAAAGCGTTCGAATGCATGGGTGTCAATTTTGAACCGGCCGACCTCGCATTCCGACCGCGAGGAGCTTCATTTCCACGGCTATTCTCCAGCTCCAAATACTCGGATATACTAACAACTTTCACTACTGCAACGAAGAAAATCTGAACGTTTTCAAGGTGTACATCATTTGGTGTTCTATAGCAAAAGAGCAAAGAAACAGCGATCTGAATTAGGCCTTGCCCCATTTCATCGAAACCACGCGCTCGGAAGGCCGCGAGTCGGCTTATGTGCCCGTTTTTACGCTACCTAATTACCGTATACGTTTGTAAGAGCACCATAAACACACAAGAGCACACACACATACACATACAAACACACACACACTCTCTCTCTCTCTCACACACACACACACACACACACACACACACACACACACACACACACACACAGACCGCCTGATCGGTGGCCTCTGTCTTGGTAAGGAGTCCGCTCTGAGTGATCTAGGGGAAGGTCAATTAATCTTTTAAAAGCACTAAAACGCAATAAAAACGAACTCTTTAAGTCAATCCAAGTGCAAAACTGAAAGATCAAAAGACGATAACAGCCAGCAGGGAACACCCACACAGTCAGCTGTTTACGTAAGCAAGCTTGGGGTTAGCTAGAATATACCGTTCTTACCCCGTACACCAATCAGAGCCCTCAATCGTTCAAAGTGACAACAAGTTGTGTACATTGTATTTCAGACCATTCATGCTCGAAAAGGAGTCAAACTCTAAAAACTTGCGAATGAAGAACGTTGAAGCATAGGTGGTCATGGGGTAATGGTTCTATAAATAATCTCACAACTACACACCAGCAAGGTCCAAATTCCTTTATCTCGTCATATAAGCTCAAACCACACTCACCTCCAAAATAAATCAAAATAAATAAATATTTGTAGTCGATTACAGCTAGCTGTCTATTTTGATCTCAAATAAAGCAGAATATATCAAACTTTCAATACATCCCCCCCAAAAAAATCATGGAAAGTCACTGTTTTGCCTATTTTCACCCTGCGGGATATGTTAACTCCAAAAATGCTGTCTATTGGGCACAACTCTCCCTATTGTCTCTAGAAGCCACTTCATACTGAATATGTATAGTGCACGTGGTTTTTAAACGCTCGTGGTTTAAGGTCCTTGTGTTTGGTCGCCATTGAACATTTCGAACGACGCGTAAAAAATGTGTCGAGTCCAAAGGAGGGCATGTCACTACTTCTAGGAACTTCAGAATGAAATCGTAATTTTCTAAAAACTCTGTCAAAGAAAATTTTAAAAATAGTGTTTAAAAGTCACAGGCATGGAACACCAAATGTAAAAGAAAATAAACAAAAAACTCAACCAATCTTTACACGACTTCCTTCACAAGATTTTAAAAAATTGGTGAACTTTGCGTTTTTGGGTGCTTTTTCCGTTTTCAAAACAAGTATCTTCTTCGTGGATTTTAAGTTTTAAAAAATCCTTTTGAATGAATTATGTCTGTTACAAATTACAGCATTCTAGAACAATTTTTGTGCGAGATTTTCAGAAAAATAAACTTCTTGTTGTACAGAGGAGATGTGTGGAAAGGGACATGAGAGAAATGAAGCTCACTTGGAAAGAGCTTGGAAGGATGGCTCAGGACAGAGATAAATGGAAGGAGCTTGTATGTGGCCTATACCCTGCCAGGGGTGAAAGGCATTGATGATGATGATGTACAGTTTTTTGTTGTTTGTTTGTTTTTGGGGTTTTTTAGATCACCCTGTAAATGTACATTATTATGTACTTTACTGCAGAACATCTCACCTCAGTGGCACCTCCGAACTGGGCCAAGGCACACACTGCATCGCAACAGCCAAGGCCATAAAGTTCATTTTAATTTTAAAAAGACCGAGGAACAGAAGCAAAAATGTGGCTCTTGTAACATAAATGTAAGTCATATGAGTGCCGACGAATACATGTAGGGATGTTAAATCAATGTAAAGAAAGTGGAGAGATAGGATGGTAGATGTTGGACAGGGAAGATAGAGAAAACTACACAAGAGCGAGCTCTCGAGGCCGAGGTGTTCGCCTCTCATTCAAGGGTCCCGTGTTCGAAACCTGACAGCGATGGAAAAGTTGCAAGCGCCGTAAAACACTCATTTAAAAAACCCGTCCCAAAACAATCAAAGATTAACTCAGGCGTGTTCAACACAAGCGGTGTCGACTGTAGATGTTTTATACACCCATATCGACACGATTTAGATAACTAAGGAAACGGGCAGCTTCACCAACTCTTCCTGTCTCGGCCAATACGCGCTGAGACAGATACATTCAACAACCGAGCAGGCAGATGCAGAGATGCTTGATTTGATTTGTTTAAAAACCCTCCCCACACAAGAACCAAACTCGCATGAATCTTTTGCTAGCATTGACGCAGTGCCTAACGGCGACACCACAGACGCCGGTCAGGGCTATACATGTAGTAACAGTCAAAAGGAGTAGAAAGTTGTTTTGTTTTAGCAGGGTTTTTTTACGGCGCTCGCAACTGCATAAGGTCATATTAAGAGCGCGAAACATATAAGTTGGTTGAATTCACCACAGTTCATTGCACTGCTAGGTTCAGGTCGACGATCAGATTTTAAAGTGTTAAAAACTTGAGGTAAAGTAACAAGCTGTGTCAAAATATAAAAGATGGATGCTGAAACCACTCCCTCCCATGTACGGACATTATCAATCGTCATGTACACAACATCTGAACGTACATGTACAGAAAGTGTACAAGTCGTTCCTGTTTGTTATTCCGACATACAGACGACATGTTCTCCTACTACAAACTACAAGTACACCACCAACGACGAGCGATGTGTCTATTTTACCACTCATCCCCACCCACTTTAAAACCTTTTTGATAAAGTGAGAACGAGAGAGAGAGAGAGAGAGAGAGAGAGAGAGAGAGAGAGAGAGAGAGAGAGAAAGAGAAAGAGAGAGAGAGAGAGAGAGAGAGAGACAGAGAGAGAGAGACAGACAGACAGACAGACAGACAGACGGACAGACACACACACACAGACAGACACACACACAGACAGACAGAGACAGACAGACAAGGGATGGGGCAAAGAAACAGAAAAAGAATGAACTGGGAAAGGTAGAGATGTGGTGAGAGAGACCCACACCCATACACAGAGATAGGGGTAAAGAGAGAGGTAGAGAGAGAGAGAGAGAGAGAGAGAGAGAGAGAGAGAGAGAGAGAGAGAGAGAGAGAGAGAGAGAGAAAGAGAGAAAGAGAGAAAAGTGAGCAAGAGAAAGCAAGAGAGAGAGGGGGTTGGTGTGAATAAATGTAATTGGACGTGAAAACGAAAGAACGAGCATGAGAAAGTACATGTATATATGAGTAAGCAAGAGGGGAAAGAAAAAAAGAAAAAAAAGACTAACTCTCAAACAAAGACAAATAGTGTAACAGTAACACGAAGTCAGAACGATTTTGTGTGTGCCCTGCAAGCAGAACTTTTATATACCACACAACACCAATACAAACACCAAGATTCAAATATAATAAAGATATGAAAAGATTTAAAAGATTAACAGTTTCTGGAAAAGACTTTTCTTATTCACACAACACCAGGTCTGGAACGTCGTCAACTCATAGAAGACTTTAAAAAAGCCAAGTCTAGAATGGCATCAAGTAAAGAAAGACTGAACAGGTCTGTGCTTTCCGTTCCCTTGTGACGTTGCTTCCCAGAACCCGGTAGGGGTTAGGGAACGTTGTAATGTTCCTGCAACCTGGATTTACAGCAATCGTCTGGCTATTTTGTCCTTGTGTTCTAGCA